TTGCATTTGTCCATGTGGAACCTATTAAGATGCTAAAAAAACATTTTTAATGATTTTCTACTTAAATGTTGATTTTAGAGTAAATGCGGTACACAGGATTAAAAACAAGAGAGCAAAGAATACATTACTGCAGGCCGACTACTCTCTCGTAGTTAAACAGTGACTTAACCAGCATTTTGAGGTTTTCCAGGACAATAATGTGAATAGCAGAAAGATAATAAATATTAGACCTTCTTTTGGAGGCTCAGCTCCGTATCCCGAGGAGATGCACAGAGACACATGCTTCTGTGTAAATTCCAAAGGAAAGTGGTTATAAATCCTATCCAGGAAATGTGTGGTCCACATAATATATTATCTTGTCTGGGACACTGTCTGCTTCTGCTTTGAAAAATGGCAAATGGGCAAACTGAACGCCATTTGTCAGTAGTAGTTATGTTAGGAATGATTATCCCTTTCATGGAGATCCTTATATGTCCATTATGTCCATGAGCATGAAGGAGTTTAAGACAGGAAAGAGCCAGTGTTACAGAAAAAGGCCTAACAGTTAGCCCTAACCCTAACAACAGAAGATAGAAGAAGATCTTTTATAGCTCCAAAAGTTCCCACTGCTGGCTGACTTCTGGCATGATAAATGGTAAAATGGTAAATGGCCTGTATTTGTATAGCGCTTTATTTAGTCCCTAAGGACCCCAAAGCGCTTTACACTACATTCAGTCATTCACCCATTCACACACACATTCTCACTCTGGATGACATACGATAAGACGTATGTCATCCAGATATGGGCCAGGTCTGGCGTAGATGGCCCTGTTTATGTGATGGCACGCCATATCTGGCTCGATTGTGGTTTGGTTTATGTGGCCCAGGCTCATAGAAAACAGGTCTGGCCCGGATCCGGCATCAAGCTGGCACTTCTGACTAACTGGTGTCATGGCAGAGTGTATGTCAACCAGATGTAGGCCAGACTTGGCAATGATGGCAGTATTTATGTTCCTATTTTCCTATTTTAGTTAGAAGGCCAAATGCCATTTTGCAATACTATACTGCTATGGTAGCCAACGATTCAAATGCAGGTTTGACAGGTTTGCGAGTGTACACTTTATCCAAAACCTAGTGAGGGTTTACTCATCTTTACCAGTGGGTGGCTGTAGCTCAGGAGGTAGAGCAGGTCACCTACTAATCAGAAGGTTAGTGGTTTGATCCCTGGCTCCTTCAGTCTGCGTGTCAAGAGTGTGAATGTAGTTAGGAAGCACTCAGTTTAGAGAAAGTGGGTGAATGTGGCTTGAGTAATCCAGGAGAGCAGAAAAGCATAATATCAGAATCAGTCCATTCACTGACTTAACAGAGTCACGTCATATTACTTTTGCAGTAGTATGTTCTGGCACATGTTAATATTACATGGCTTGATTAAGGTACACATTAGGCTGACATCTGGGGCCAGAACTGAAACTGTTCTGGGCCACCAGTGTGTCTGCAACTGGCCCATGTGTGGGCCACCACTGGCAAACCAGATCTGGGCCACCAAAGAGCCATCATTCTTTGCGGTATGTGGGCCATGAGTAAGCACACTGTGTGGGCCAGATCCGGGCCATACCAATTATGCTATGTGGGCTTCTGGTGAAAAGAAAATTCCAGGTTTTTATTACAAACTGAGATAGACATGGTCAAAAGGACCTGCTGCGTTTTAAACTGAGTATCAGAATGGGGAAGAAACATAATTTAAGATGTGGCAAGGTTGCTGGTGCCAGACAGGCTGGTCTGAGTATTTCAGAAACTATTTCAGAAACTATTTCAGAAACGATCTACTGAGATTATTCTGTATAACCATCTCTAGTTTACATAGAAGAAAAAGGATTAAGAAAGGTTAAAAAAGATTAAAGAAGAAATGCCAGAGGTCAGACGAGAAAAACGGGACTTCTCTGAGTTGACAGAAAGGCAAAAGCAATAAGCTTTGTTGAATCAATGTATGCAGAAGAGCGTCTTCTACAGCAGCAGAAGACCACGTCAGGAGAAATACTTGCTTAGCCTGATGAATCTCGATTTTTCTCTGTGTGTAAAAAGCAGTGAGTTTTTACAGCTTACAGAAGCCAAAAATTTCAGGAAATCCTGCTCCAATCATACGGATAAAGATATTAAAATACACCATTTTAGTATGTAATGCTTCAAGGTCGTAGGTCAAAGGTCGAGGTCATACTAATTAAGATATATTATTGGGAGACATATGCACTCTCTTTGTTTTGAGCTCTTTAAAACATTTTTAGATGATTTCACAATCACACTACATTTCCATATTAACAATGCTGACATCAGCAAAAATGATCTATGAAAACAATGCAGATGTCATCACTAGTTGTCATTAGTCTAGTGTGTATTTTGAACTATTTAGAACAGAAGAGCAGTGAAGCGGACTTTTTACTCAGTGCTTGTTTAGCTTTTTTTTTTTTTTTTT